CGGCCCGCGGGCCGTACGGTTGACACCCGTGGAGAAGAAGCAGTGGTGTGACGTGAGCGGTAAACGGCTATTGCTGGGTTTCAGATGACATACCACCGACGTCACCCAACGCACATGGAGGGCCGGAAGTAAATCCAGCCCATTTATTTCTGTTGATCCAGCATCAAAATGTCCATAGTTTGAGTCATGTACGGTTGTTTTCAGTAGAGAGAAAGATAAACGTTATTTTTGTGTTCCCAAGGTAGTTGGTCACAAGGGAGTTAATTTTTAAAAAATTTACTGAAAAAAGAGGAGAAAAGTGGATCAACAATCTTCGGCTAAAAACAGGAGGTGTGAAAACTAACAATGCCAGAGTTTGCAGCGCCACTTTCTAACAGGTAACGATCGCATCGTTTAAACTGTATTTTCAGATATTTTATTGGACAGTTACTTAGAAAGACAAGCATTCATATATAAGGTACGATATATTATTTTTATGCCCTAGCTTGGTTGTTCCCAGAGTGCTAATGTTGTTAGCAGCTAGCTCAGTGCCGAGTCACCGACAGAAAATATGCTTATCCAGTGGGACTTTCATGCTAAAAAAAAATAATAAAAAAGCAAAATAAATTAAATATAACCTACACAGCCATACAGTCACAGTGAGCTGTTACTATTCCCCTACATGCTTCGTGTCTGGCCACGAATAGACACGAACATGGGGGTTTTTTGTAGATCGGTGCTAATAGCTGACCTACATTGGATCTGAATGCAGCGTCCTACAGCGACTCAACATTAACATACAACTCCATGATATATTTGGGTTTACAGAAGCTAAATAAATTATTTACCAGAAGATTCAAGTCCGTAAAATAATATGGGTTAGTTTGTTGTTAGCGATAGCATCGTTATCATGGACTAATTTCTTCTTTTAAAGGTTTTATCTGCTCTAGTGGCCTTTATTTGAAAGTGGGTAATGAGAGAAGGGGAAGACATGCGGCAAAGGTCGCCAGGGGAATCAAACCTGCGACGACCACTTCGAGAACTGAGGCCTCCATATGTGGACTGTGCTTAATCTCTGCGCCACCACAGCACACCCATAGACTAATCACTTAAAATAGCACAACTCACTACTCACCCGGCAGAAACAAGTCGACAGCCATTTAATGCTTTTTTTGATCCTTAATGCTTGACCCAACTTGAAACTAAATGATTGTATTCTCCAGGCTTTTGGAAAACTTTCTTCTGGCTCATCGTATAATATGAGGTCTGCAGCTCCAGGTAGTTAGTGTTATGTGGATCGCCATGACACCGGGTAAATCCTCAAGATTATAAGACGAGTCTTTTTTACAGAGATAATACAGATCATATCCTAAATATATGCATATTTTTTTGAGATGCCTCAGTTGTTCCAGCCTATTTAGTGCATTATCGTACTCGTGGTCAATTTTGCTTTGTTTTGAATCAGAGAAATCCCCTTCCGGGCCTCCATCTGAATTTTGCGTGTCATCCGGATCACGTGTCTGAAACCCAGCAATACACAGTGTGTAACAACAAAGTTTTTAAATTAAATAGAATTAAACTACAAGAAGTTGTGCCCTCCCTAAACTCCCATCCAGATTCATCATCAGTGTGTCTCTCTAACAGAATGCTAGGGGCGGTGGTGGTTGGCGTCGGAACAGCTGGTGCGGTACGGATCAGAGACATGTTGACCCCACTAGCTGGCAGTGCTGCAGAGAAGCTGATTGTCCAAGGGTTTGTATCCAGGTAAGACATATCTGATGTAAGATTCCATAAACCAGGCATAACATTATGATGCTGACAGGTGACGTCTCACCATCATGCCACCAAATATTGAGTGTAATATGATGCTATAGAAACAGCATCATGGACAAAGAAAAAAACTGATAGAATTAGAAAAACACAAAGTAATAAGAACTCAATATGCACATCCAGTTATTAAATGCAAGTAATTGATATTCATTTTAATTGTATTTTTTTGGTTTGTTGTTTTTATGACAAGTTGTGGATTTAAATGGTATTTCACTGGAGATGTCTTCCTATAACATATAATTGCCCTGTAATATTTTTACATTTCCTGTCAATTTTACATCTTTTAATACAAAAACACGGTGGACCGCCTTGGCATCCCAACCACCGGCCTTAGCAAGTTTTCTGGGGGAAACTGACTTGTGTACTGAATTTCATGATTGTTGGTCAAAGCATGGCTTGGGGCTGATTTATTAAATATTCTAGGGGGCCCTGTGGAGGAATTAGGCCACGCCCACCAAATATTGGACTGCATTCCTGTTGTGGGATGGACAAGAATCGATCACAGCGAGTTTGGTGCAGCTTGGCTGAAATATATAGAATTTAGTATGGTAACGGTGTGACCAGTGACTTTGCCACACTGTCATGGCCATGCCCTCCACCGAAAACTCTTTGTGCTTTAAAGCAAGTGAGACCAACTACTTATCTGTCATCAAAACAAGATCATTTTGATTACCTCAAGGAGGTCAGAGATGGAGCTTTTCAAGTAAAAAAGTAACTTTCTGTTCTGAGGAGACGGGCTTAGATGATGTCAGATTATGACAACATTGGATCGTCAGGCATCCAACCAGGATCACTCATACCATGTTTGGTGGCAGTTGACCTTTTTCTGTGACAGTTACAGCGTTTCGTTTGCAAGTTCGCCGCTTGGCCATGCCCCCCAAACATACGAAAACTCAGTTTTTTATATAAAATTTAAAGCCCCATCCCTTAACTGCCTGTCTCCAGATGCTGGGGCGGGAGGCGGGGTGCCGATATAAAAATGTTTTTTTTTGTAAATATTTTTTTAGAATGTCACTGTTATTACATAGCAAACAGTAAAACATGAGACAGATAATCAGTGAAAACAATTGAGCCTCGTCTTATGACATACTGATAGTTTTAACAAATATGTAAAAAAAAAAAATAATGTCATGTTAATATATGTTCAAAAACAGTTTGTTGAAATCTGGGTAACACTTTGACAGGTGTGCACAAGACTTACATGACACTCATAAACTTAACATAACATCTACCATGAACATGAAGGAGTCTTTATGAATGTCTGACTGTTATCATGAAGTATTATTCGGTAAATAATGACACTTTTAATGCAAAGTTGCTAAAAAAGTTGCAGTAAAAGTGCCAACTTTGTATTAAAGTGTCATAACAAAAATAATGCAAAGTTGGCTATTGGTGACTTTGCATTGAAAGTGTCATTATTTACCAAATGACACTTTGTAACAGTCATAGACATTCATAAAGACTCCGTCATGTTCATGACAGATGTTATGTCAAGTTTATGACAGATTTCTATCAACTTTATTAAACATGTAACATGCCCATGCTGCCGAATGTAACTTTTATAGAAAATTTCCTTTTTCATATTTGTTCAAATTACTACTATGTCAAGTCAGTATGATGGCTTTTCTTTTTTAGATTATCTGTCTCATGTTTTACTGTTTACTATGTAATATCATAATGACAGTTTAAACAAATATGTAAAAAACCTATTGCTTATAAATATTATGTACTGCAACTTAAAAGTTGACCTTGAGCATATTTCTGCAGTTCCTCATTAAAAATAACAAATAAATTTGTGTCCTGCAATGAGGAATACAACAATAAAAAACACAAACACTGAACATTACTAAATAAAAAATTAAAAAAATGTCAATTTACTCACTCATAGAGGCGGTTTTTAAGGGATTATGCCTTGTTGGACAGTTTACCTCCATCCAGTTCCATTACTATCTTCTGTAACACCTCAAAAGTGTTGTGAAGGTCAGGGTTGGCTAGGTTCAGTCCATATATCAGTCCAAAAAGCATTACAACAGCTGCTGGCACACTATCCAAATTGGACACCACTCTGATGCCTTCAAGAACAACCCTGATGTCTTTTTTTTTTTTTTTAAAGGTTTTATTGGCTCTAGGGGCCTTTTTTTGATAGTTAATTGACAGGAAAGTTGGTAATGAGAAATGGGGAAAGACATGTGGCAAAGGTCACCAGGCCGGGAATCAAACCTGAGATGGCCGCGTCGAGGACTAACGCCTCCATACATGGGTTGTGCTTAACTCTTGCACCACCAGAGCACACCCAACCCCGATGTCTTCATCTGCTGAAGCACTGTCTTTCAGATGAAAAACGCCAATGGTGGTGCACTCCAATAGCCTCTTCAATGGTAGCTTCATCCACACCCTATTTGAAGAGATGACAAGTTAATCTCTCTTTTTCTGGACCTAGCTGTATTTAGGGCACCCATCTTGGAGTGGTCGACCTCTCCACTCAGCGTTATATGTTTGGCAGGCACAATGACGTATCAGCGCATTTAATCGATCATAATACACATTTTTGTTACTGGAAACATTATTAAAACAGCTATTAAAGCTACATTTATAAACAATTGTATTTTTAAAGTATTTTTAATTGTAGTGATACATAGTTCAGCATATTTAAATATTCTTAGTGGGAAAAAAGATACATTAGGAATAGAATATTCTGATATTGATGTATGATGAGCATTTTACAAAGCACACAGCCGTTCATAACTTATTTAATAAATTATTTAGTAATATCAATATATATTTATATAACTATACAAACACAAATAAATAATGATTAATAATGAGAAATAAATAATTATTAATACTGAATAATATATATTGGATACATGTTTATATGTATGTATATACATACATATATAGAGATATATGTATATGTTTTTCAGCCGACGAGTTCTAGCTTCAGAGATTCAGCAGCTGAGATTGAGTCCAAAATCCGATGTGAGATTCATCCGTGCTGCAGTGAATCCGTCTCTCTTTATAGATTTCTCCCTCTTCTTCCTCACATCG